CCTGCACTTTCTTCTAGCTTAGTGAAGTTTGTTATACATTTGGAAAAAGAACCCATTACAACCTTTTTCTGCTGTGACAGTTGTGGTATTTATTTGCATTGACACATGTGAAATGCAGCATCAGTTTGTTTAATGTGGTTAATCTATATCACTGCACAGTAAGAAATCCAATTTCATCAAAAGTCCTCAAATGCAATAGGGAGGTGCTTCTCGGAATGTAGATTTTCAGTGCCCAAGCAAATCAGACTTTGTACATCTGAGATATCAGTCATCATTTTCTTGACAGTCTCCTTGCAAACTGCATGATACTCAATTGCTATGAATAATATTCAAGCAATTAGCCATGGCTCAGTATAAACAAATTGGCATAGGTACCTGAGATTTCATTGTCCAGATGGATGGGAATAGTTAACAAATTAACATTTACCTTAATTCATTATATTTGAAAGCATTGTAGTAATATAAAACTATTTTTAAAATCAACTTGTGTTGTTAAATTGCTGTGACGACTTGTGGTTTCAGTCTTTGCTTGTAAATCTAAGCTGTTGAAGTAGAAATGTACAGGCAGTTTCTGCTTATAACTCAGTGGTCAAAGATGGAATTGAAAATGTGGAGGTTTTAAGTTTAGCCCTCTGTGAGAGAGGAAGAGAAATCCATTAAAAATGACATCTCACATGTCCTAAATAAATAGACAAATTTTCCATCTCTGCTGGGACAACAAATGTAGAAGGAAGTGGGAGTATGGGGGGGGGGTGTTTGGTTGGAAATCAAATTCTATAGAACTCTGTCACTTGCACAGTTTAAATACCCATAATTTTGGATTTGAGAATAAATTGTTTGTACAGTGACTGATTGTTTAAAAAAAACTTATGTTAAAGAAGCTCTTCTGCTTATCATGTGGTTGTTAGCCTTGTTCTCTTGACATTTGTGTGTGTGTGTGTGTGTGATTACTCTTCTCTTTCTCAATGAAATTGCTGTCTTCTCTCTTTCTCTCATTCTTTCTATACAGCTTATAATGTGAAACAACCAAATAAAAGTAAATATACAGCTACAGGAATGTGTAGTATTTGTAATTCTGTCATTTAATTTACATAAATGTTTATCAGTTCACTGACAGCAGGAAAGATTGTGTACAGTTTATATTATATTGATTTTAAGAATTTCAGTACCTTTTTATTTTAAATGTTTTTTTGGAAGATGGATATCAAGAAACAAATTTTAGTTCTTCCATATAAACACCCTGGGACCATGTCTGCTAAGAATGCCCCCTCCCCCCCAATCAAGCAAAAAACTAAATTTGGGTCTAATGTATAGTTTAATTCTGAAAAAGGAGTTTTGTATCATCCTCACAGTCTCTCCTGGGAGACCAAATCAGGGAATATTTGTTAATTTCTGAATTTCCAGAAGGTATATATATATATATATATATATATATATATATATATATATATATATATAATTTTTTTTTTTTTTCACTGAGAACATTACAAGAAAATAGCAATCTTTTTTTCTCAATAACTGTTACAAACTGTTTTATTTGAAAACTTTTCTGTCAGAGATTACTTTTTCTTTTCCCATATCCAGGGACAAATTTACAAATTATTCTCTACTTCCATTTGAGGAGTCAAAGGTCATTTTCTCCCCAACTTTTTGTTTTCATCCAGATGTCTTAAGTTATCCAAAGGCAGAAGTGGATGATTTTATTTTATAAAAGTAATGACTGCATTTCTATTTTTCATGTTTCTGCATCATTTTCCTCTTAACTAGGATTTGTAGCAAGAGTTTAATACTCCAATTCAGAGTTGATAAAGAATTTTATCATTAAGCCAAGGTCACATCTGTAATAAAATCTACAAGGATTGTCAAGATTGCTTCTCCAAAAATTCTCATCTCCCTTGGTAACCAAATATAATTTTCCATGATTGGACAAATGATTAAAGTTAAAGCTCTATGCTTGGAAAAAAAAAAGTGGAATGAGCCAATGGTAAAAAGGAAAAGTTCATGCTTGTAATATATTTAAAAAAAAATATATATATATATATATATATATATATATATATATATATATATATATATATATATATATATATATATATATATATATATATAACCTGATACACAATTACTTTCTAGGTTAGGATTTATGTGCCTAAACTAATAAAGGTATATTAGCACCAGAAAAAAGAAAGTAAAATCCACAATTATGAATATGCCTATTTGAGGCCTAAATGCTCAATGTAACCTCCCCATCACTTCCAGTAACATAAATTTTAGTCTTTTGCCAGATTAAGCATAACCAATTATTGAAAGCAAAGTCTAGCAATGATAAACTAGTTGCTATCGGACTAAGCAAAATGAATAATTAGCAGTAGAGTAAGAATTGTAGGCAGTTTTCAAAAGATAGGGAAGTATTTGATTGGACATGAAGATTTTATTTTCATTCTTTAATTTTCTTTCTGGAGATGAATGAATGACAGTCTGAATGGAATTTATATTTGATGATGCGAGTTACATGTTATCAGAACTATTTGTGGTTATCTTGTTCAGATTGGGTCCCCTTTCTCTCCTGGTCATCATTTTGTCCTTATTCCTTTTCCCTCCACAAAAAAAGAGCACCCCCCCCCACGCACACACTGTTGATGAATGACTAAATGAACAGGCACAAATTTACTGCTTTTTACTGTCTTTCTTTTTATGTAAATATATATAGTAAATGTCCAGTATATTATCTGAAAGAAAGAAAAATAAATTCTTTTAATTGCTTTGATTTTAGAACTGTGATAACATCAATAAGCTCGCTCTCTCTCTACATATAAATATATTTATATGTATTTGTCTTTATCTATATACACTTTATTTGCTTGAAAATTGTTTTTAAAATGTTAAAAGGAAAAAAAAAAAAAAAAAACTTTTTTTTTCTTTTTTTTTTTTTTTTAAATTATCTTTTTGTTCTGTCACCCACCTCCATCCCCAAATGTTATTCTGTTCTCCCTCACCTCCACCAAACAACTAGCCAGAGTCACCATCAGTTCTGGACTGTCACACAGAACCTTGATAATATTGACAACAATAATATGCAGCCAAAAGAGAAAGACTCATTTGATATGACACTATTGTTTAGCAGAATATACAGCTTAACTGCTGCTAATAGAAAAAAAAAAAAGTGAATTTTAAAATAAAATGTGGGAAAGGTAGCCAAATAAATTTGTTTTGTCTCATTTCTTGACTTTTTGTATGATTTTCTCAAGTCAACTGAACTTCAATGACCAGATTTTTTGCTCTTTCCTTGAAATCATTGTTTTGTAATAGTTTTGTTTTACTAGTTTGTGCAGTGAAAAAAAAAAATTGAATCCAGGGAATTCATATAATAATGCATGCTTGCAGGTTTTCAATATTTAGTCTAAAGTATATAAACTAATCTTCATAAAAAAATCAAGAATCCACACTTCCACTTTTGGGGAGGGGGTTTAACTCTAATGTAACTAGTATAATGGTTATTAGACTAGAAAGTGGAGCTGGGAATGAGTTCAAGTTCTAGTCTAACATGTTGCATTCATGTTTTTATGAATCAATCTCTTCTTCCACAGCAATGAATTCTCGCCAGTCCACAAGCAGAAGGACTTTAGTTAAAAAAAAAAACACAAAACAACTCCAGGGAACAACAGCAATTCCCAAATTATAAGGAAAAAAAATAAAAGGAATCTGAGCCCTGATTGTCCCCACATCATCAAAGGACATATCAAGAGATACTCACACAATACATGGCTTGTTAACTTCTGCATCCAAATATCTCTGATGACCTGAAATATTAACTTTTGCATACAACTCCTAAACCTGACTTAACATTCAAGTATAGCCATAATAAATATGGATATTCTATTGTTGTTTAAATATACATTTTTTGTTTTTTCTTTTAATCTGTATCATCCCAAGCAAGTCGGTAGTCCTTGGCATGCAAGGGTGACAGAGTGTTTGACTGATCAGCCTATCGAGATAGAAGTAAATGGTAATAGTCATCAGTATAGATACCAAGCCATGAGACCTGCATTAGTACAAAAAGATGTAGATGAGTAGCCATTCAGGACAGCTTTCATTTCACAATTGGATGAGAATGAATGGAACAGCTCAAAAACATGCCCAGAGATACTGTAGCTTTTCAGCTTGTGGAGAAGACCCGAATGCCAGAACCTGTCAAAGCCAGTGCTTCACTGTTTTATCTAAAGCACAGACTCTCTGTAATCATTAGTACATCAGCAGTTGATCTGGAGATGACTAAAAATTACTTCTCCAAAATATTAGACAATTTAATGTTATTTTCTATTCCAGTAAAGTGGCGGGCTGGGTAGATACTTGTCCTGCATGAAACAAAAAAAGTGAAGAAAATGACAAGTAAAGCAACTTGTTTTCTTTATAATAAACAAAAAGGAATTTAAACATTTTGACCAGGACTAAAAAGGAAACCATCTTACAGGCGTGAAGTTGAGATTAATTCAAAGTAACCTTAGTTGAAGTTAGTTTTTTTTTTTTGGTATAGTTACATATCCAGCCCTATTTTCTGTGGAGCACATAGTAAGCAAGCAGTTCCAACGAATCCAGACCACTTGCTTCATCTTAGTGCCAACCAACGAATGCCCGGATGTAGTAACACTCTTTGTCAGGTCATTTGACCACATCATAGTTCTTTGAAGTCTTTGATCTAACAGATGCAGAAATCAGAAACCTTTCATTAATAAAAAGAGATTCTCTTAACATACTGAATTTTTAAAGTTTCATTTTCACCTTAAGAAGTGGCTTTTAAAAGCCTACAGTTCATTGAATGTTGAATTTTCAAATCAATAAAGATTTAGAAATAAGTCAAAATAATAAACAAGTACGACTAATTTCTATGGTAACATTGTTTTATTATCTAGAAACTGTACAAAGGAATTTTGCAGCTAGAGCCAAGAAACATTCACTTCCCAAAGAAAAAGGCTCTCTAAAAATAATTAGAATATCCAACCTTATTTCAAGAAGTTGGGGATGTTCTCTGGTTGATATGGCTTGGCATGAGGATACATTGTAGGTTTTTCAGGATCAACTGCACTTTCAGGGAAATAATCAGCAAACATTTCATGTGTCATTTCATGAGGCTTAGGTAAAGTATCAAGTTTTTTCAACTGAAAATAAAAATCAAACATTTCGATAAGTGTCAAAACATACAAATACATACCTGTTGCTTAATAACACTGCATACTATTTATTAATTGGGATCATAAATTAAACTACCATTTTAATATGCCCAAGAACTTTTTTTTCACTGTTGTATGTTTTGGCACAAGGCCACAGTCAAGGAGTACCTAAACCAATGAAAAAAAAAAATTGCCTGCAAATGCTTTAGGATAAAAATTGCACAGTAATCAGAAATAAAAATGTATTCCTCTCTTGAATTTTAATATCTATTTGAAATCAAAATCTATTTACTTAACATTTAGCACTCAGCATTATTAATATTACTTCCCTTTCCACTGCATTCTTTTTCATGGCTTCTCAATTGCAGTAATCTTATTGTTAATTTCACTCAAAGTTGTTTTCATAGCAGCAACACAACTATGAAATTCAAACAGACTATTGCTCAGGGATCAGTCATCTTCAGTGTCAGGATAAACATTTTGTATAGCAAATGAAGTCATATACAGAGTGATAAAAGTTAATTGAGCCACTAATAGAATCATTGTATTTGGAAACAATTACTTTCACCTAAAAATTCTTGCCAATTTCCCCAATTCTACCTCCCATCATTAAAAAAAACAACTCAGAAAATGAGATACCAATTAGTTGTCACTGCAGTTATGATATCAATAACGACAATCAAATTTTCATATAAAATACCAGTCTTTATTGATATGAGCAAACCAAATAAACCCTCGTCTCTCCAAAGATCCCCAATTCAAAGCTATTATTATGCAGAGTTTTTTTTTTTTTCTTTTCTTTTTCAAGAAGTGAAATTATCAGATTTGCTGCAATCAAGACACCCCCACCTGGTTTATTTTATGGCTCATGTTTAATATAATTCATGTCAGGAGTTTGAGTTATTTTGATGCATGACAGAACAAGTCTTGCTTTCAGAACACAAGTATTTTTCTTAATATTCTCCAAACACTCCAAAACCTTAAAACCAAAAACTGCAAATTGTTTTCTTCAAGTGAATTTGACAATGGTTTGTAGAGAATTCAAATGATTTTTGATCTGGCAATCTGAACCACTTCAAAGAAATGACTTTATGCAACTTTGCTATAAAGGCACCATATAACTGTTGTTGAGTTGATTTGAATATTGCCATTTTCCAAGAGGATTTTTTGTAAATTTTGTTTCATCACATCAACACTAGTTTCCTTTTCTTAATTCCAACACTATTTGATGCCAATTCATTCCATCAACAATAATTCCCTGTGCATTGTGAAATGATTGGATTGCTATTTCTCCTGCAACTATTTAGCTCTTGTTTTGTACATACAGACTCCTCCTACAGTCAAGCCAGCAATCATCAGGTAGAACTTGAAGTAAATTCCATCCAGGCTTTATTAAACTAAAATATGAGAACAGTGAGTTGATAAATAAGAGAACATGAAGATTGAAAGCAATTGGAAATATTTAGAATTTATAAATAAACTTACCATAAGTTCTGCCTCAGAAATCATAGCCTGCAAGCCTTCAACTTGTTTCTTCATATCTGCTTCCTAAAAGGAAAACAAAAATTATAATTGAATAATGAATAATAAAATAACATGAAGACACATGTGATCATTTTATCATGTATCTGATCAACAGTAATTATAGGACAATGAATTTTGCTCCCAATAAATCTGGAACATTTTATACCCAGAAGAGGGATCAGAATTACACTGATTCCAAGAAAACCAATATGCAAAGAATCAATAAAGCACTTCAAGTATTGAAGTTGATTTAGAGAAGGTATTATAAATTTTGGATGTGCACAAATAGTTTGGACATGCTAAGTCCACCCCCTCTCTAAAAGCTTGAAAAAAAAAAATAAATAAATAAAAATAAAAAGACACCCTCTTATTTCACATGATCTTCTGTTTGTATTTAAATGCCTTAAATGTTCCAACAAAATCACATTTTACCATAACAAAAAATACTATTTACTGCAGTCATATTTCTTAGGTCGTTTCAAATATCCTGTCATTTACAAATAGTTCAAAGTGTGTAAGTGAGAGATATGCAAAATAAAAACTAAAATATAGTAAGTGGATAATCCTCTTTTGCATATAAAACATGCAGACCAATGTCATATTTCAAATAGCTACTAAGTCCCCCTCTATTAAATGTATGTACTAATATGTAGGCGATGCTTATTAATAGACATTCTACTACTAAAATATACATAGAGAGAACCTTAAACTTTATTCACCTCAACTGTTCAAATTAAAAACAAAACAATGCACAATTTAAGTAGCAGGTAAATGATTCTCATTATTACAAGACAAATTAGAAATTGTATTTGCCCATCTTGATTAAATAGTACATTATCTTCATGAGTGCAGCAAGATGGAGTGGCTGTAGTTTACCAAATCTTTGCAGAAAAAAAAATGTGTTTTTTTTTGTCTGCCAAAAGTTTAAAAAACTCAACAGGTATCAAACAAACTGACAGCTTTTATATATAAATTAAATAAAACAACAACATTGGAGACTATTATGCTGTATTACCTGGTGGATGGGGGGGGCGTCAACGAAGTGTGTTTAGTGGGGGCAATGGCTTGTGCAAAAAAAAAAAATTTTCTTGACAGATGTTGCTATGATTGTAAAATTCTCAAGTGTTCTATAATTAATAGGAATAGATATGTTTGCCTATCATTTAAACAGGAGTAGAGGTTTATCCCTTGTTTCCTATATAGGTTGGGTTTCCTGTTCTCCCTAAAGTCTTCTCATTCTCTTTCACTCAGAGTAGCCCCTTCAGTCTTAGTGACTTCCTTGGAGTGAATTGAAAAAAAAAAAAAAAAAAAAAAAAAAAAAAGAAATCCTTAGTTCATATCAATTACAGCCTGTGGTTTTATCTCAACAACAATTATATTCTATTCCAAAGTCATATCTTTTAAACAAAAGAAGCATCGTAATAATCACAATGAACTATCAGGAAACAAAATCTCATTCATTCCATCACATGGCAAAAATTTTAGTGCCATGCTTGATAAAAGTTCAATTATTTTAACTTACAGCTTCCTTTTCTTCAGATGAAACTGCACCTTTTATGTTTTCTTTATCTGTAGGGTATGGGATGGTCAGAGCAGCATACTGAAAATGAAAAAAAAAAAAAATTGTCATTTCAAACAAAATAACACAAAATGTGTAAAAATTGCTATATAACTTATATGAAATATCCGAACAAAGTATGTAAGATAAAATGTGAAAATCAGCTGAATGTTTAAAATTCTCTTCTCTTGTTAAAGCTCCATACAGTAAGATCACCACCAGAAGAGAAGAGAAAAATGTCACCACCATGAAACTAGAAATACTGGTTAAAAATAAATAACTGAACAAATCAATGAGATCTGCACATAAAAAAATGTTGACATAAGACTTTTTCATATATTATATGCATTTTTTTTTCTTAAACATTTTAAGTTATTTTTCTATATAATCATTATATTTTAATATTTTCCTATGTGCAGATCTCATCAATACACAAAATTCAAAAATGTATGGAGGAGTCAAAAGTGTCTTAAGTTTCTACTTTATAGTTTTTTGTCCTTTGGGAAGGTGTGTCAAGATAAATCTTCCGCCATAGTTTGTCTGCATAATAGGTTAACTATATGAAATCCTTAAAAATATTGTACATTTTTACTTTGAGGATATTTTTGTCAGCTTTCCTCAGTTGCTTAACAAAGACAAGGCTCTACATGTGTAAACCTTGGACATGAGGTTTGCTTTTTCATTGAGAATCTATTTAAACAGACACTGCTTCAAGACTTTATATTGGAATTAATGCAACATAATCATCAAACTTGAAAAAAAAAAAAGCTGAAAAGTTGTTATGCAATCTTCATATTATAAATATTTTGATTTCTTCATTCATTTGTTGCCATTTGTGTATTCCAATTCAGCTTTGGTCTCATTTAAACAATTTTTTTAATTCTCCTCTCTTATGTTAGATTTACAATAAATAGTTTCTACATCTGACCAGATACCATAAAGAGAAAAATAGCAAGATCATAAAAGTTATTCCTATATATATATATATATATATATATATATATATAAACTAGATAATACATTTTCACTTGATCCATTAAAAAAAAAAAAAAAAAAAAAAAAATCAACAGACAAATGTTTTTTTTCTCTGATTCAATATCTCTAAAATCTGTATATCACCTTAATGAGTTTTAATGTTGATTCTGGGTATGGGTTTAATTCCAGGGGTGGGGGGATTAAAAAATCAACTTACTCCAGCTTCAAATGTTTCAACAAGTTTGGGATTTTTAAGAAGTTTCTTGTAAGATGCAAAATCAATAGCAGGTAAGCTCTCTGGATATTGATGAATCCTGAAAAGAATTAAAATGGTCAAGAATTAGAATGAGAACAACCGTTTTCTTTCTTTAAAGAATATAAATAAAGTGTACAATCGAAAATCCAATTTTTAGTCTTTTTATCCCTTTCAAAAATATGTATTATTCATGCTCTTTAAAAGAAAATACAGACAAGACCATTTTCTCAAACAAATAGCACTGGAGAATTTAGTCAAACCCATTAGATTGAAAGTGTTGTTGCCACTTAAATAGTAAATTTTACAGATTCTTAATTTCACTTCTCTATGAGGGGGTTGGGTGCTGAAAAGTTCTCCAATTCATTTCCCAAAATCTGATAAAATATTAGAATGTGAGTGGGAGATTTTCAGTCATTACATTTTTTATATATATATATATATATATATATATATATATATATATATATATATATCTTACTTATTATAAAACGCAGATTGTGTGTGTGTCTGTAACATTTATATATTGGATCGGATTTCCTACATTTTTCAACAAAACTTCACAGGACTACATACAATTACCTTGTGATGGTTCTAACAGCGCCAAAGATGGGAAAAATATAATTGTTTTTGCACAAAATCAATTTGAAAACACGATTAAGAGACATCGTGAAAATGAAAGGGGGACAACTCACATTGGGCTGTTTGTGTGTGTGGGTTACTTTAAATATGGGAGTGGATTTCCTATATTTTTCAGCTGATAAAACAAAACTTCACTTTTTTTTTTTGGCAGGTAGTGTTTCTTATTCTCTTGCACTTTTTTTCTTTATTTTTAACATTCAGAATGCTTTAAAAATTCCATTTACAAGACAATTATTTATAATAAAATTCTATTCAATCGGGAGACCCATAACGATTGAAAACAATATTTTTGTTTGAGTTTGACCAAATTCGAAAAAAAAAAAAAAAAAAAAAAATTAAGACATGCGTGTCCATCAACCTTAAACAATAATCTAACAATCTCTACTGATTGTACGAATACAAACATAAATTCTTTATCTTTAGGAAAGATAATGAAATCTAAACATACACAAGTCCTAACTAAAAATAGTAACTGAACGGAAACTACTTTAAATACACATGGTGTCCAATTTTTTTACTGTATTCAATAAGTAAAAATCATAAATTGTAAAAGATTATTATTACAGAAAGGCTACTAAATGAATAAGATTTGTTAGATCATAATTAATAAACCCAAATAAAGTTAATATTTTTGTATTAGAAACAACGAGTGGAAAATATATTCAAATCAGAATTCTAATTATGAATCACCACAAGCAAAAATATGCAATTTTTTTTACTGTATTCAATAAGTAAAAATCATAAATTGTAAAAACTAAAAGATTACAGAAAGGCTACCTACATTTTTAAACAGATTTCAACAAAACTTCACTTTTTTTTTTTTTGGCATGTAGTGTTTCTTATTGTCTAGTTATATATTATATATAACTAGAATTGCTCAAATTATTATTCCCATTTTATTAGAGGAGTAAAGATGTGTTTCTAACTTTGCAGCTTAGAGGGCTTTAAATGTAAAGTCAATTTCTTAAATTTTAAACATCGTTCATTTTACAAAATTATAACATCAGCAAAATTTCAATACCTTTCAAATTTTTTTTTTTTTTTTATGCATTCAATGTTTTTTGTTTTTTTTTAAATATCAATGTTTTGTTATCTCAGCATTCATTGATTTTTTTTCAGGACTAAGCACAATTTTATCACAGATTTGTCAGATATAACAAAATTAGTCTTTTTATCTTTTTCAAACCCCCAAAATTTAAAACCCTTGAACAAAACTTGAAATGATTTCCGAGTTATAGGTAATACAGAAAATTGCGGTGAGGTTTAAAGTATATTGTCAGGATGGATTTAGAATTTTGAAATTTGTTAGTTAATTTTTTAAATTTCCATAAAAAGAAAAAAGAAAAAGAAACATTAGTACACAATAGAAAAGAAAATATTCCCTTAAAAAGAGATTATACCTGATGATGTGTGGATTGTGTCCCTTTATTTTGCCTTGTTGCATTAGGTAAGTTGTTGTGCTGTCCAAGAGATTTCTATTAAGTTATAGAATTAAAATAGTTCAATAAGTTTAACCATTCAGCTAATCCTTTATTCCATTGACAGCATGTTATATTTTAAAATTTTGAAAATATGCTACTAAAAAAATACAAATAAGTAAATTTTTTTTAATTTTTTTTTTAAATTTCTAACATTGCTAAACTTCTCCAACACTAGATATAAATGGTTACCACCTTCAGAACATTTTAATAATTCAGTAATTTAAAAATAAAAGCCATTAACAAGACAATCACTTGTATATATCACAAAGACTAAATTAGAAGTAAACAGACATTTATTTGATTTTTGAAGCTGAATATGCAACTTAGTTATCTACATTAAGCCAGACTCACTAAAACACATGCAAGTAGAAATAAATAAAACAGTATTTATGCATGTTTATTTTTTAATGCTCACTTCTATGCAGTCCCAGCTCCTCTCCCATTGCATTAAAAGAGGAAGAATCAGCATCATTCCTTGATGCCTTCAGAATCCAAAAAAGGAAGTGTCAAGAGAGATTGAATAATTTTACATGTTACTCTGAAATATTAAACCAACTTGCATCAAATTTGCTCTCATACAAAGATAAATAAAATAAAATTACATTTATTTGATGTCACAGTTTTATGTCATATGTGTGCATATATTCACACACATATACCCTTTATAATTTCCAGGATTTCAAGTGGCCAAACAAGCTCTGAACTTTATATTGGATTTAAAAAGAAAAACAATTTCCAGAAACTTGGAAAAAATATTTTTTTATAAATCAAAAATAGATTCTTTTTCTTAACAAAGATAAAACTTACTAGATACTAACCATGTAAATAGGCCACTTTCTATATTGGGTGAAAAAAAAACAAAACACCTTCAATATTTTTTGTTGAATAGGCTGTTATAGAGTGTTAAAAATAAAATAAACAATAGCAAGAAAATACACACATTTACAATTTTATATTTTCCTGGAATTCTCAACAATACAGCTAAGAATTTAAAGATTTTTAATATTATTAATGTTAAATGCTTTTTACACACTTTTCTCAAGGTAACATAGGTGTCATTTACTACTCAGAATTCAATCTTCAATGGACACCTCGTTCTTGTGGTTTTATGCTAGAGTCTCACTGGGTGCTCCAGTTATGTCAAACTCGGCTAATTTAGTCTTTTGTGATTACAGTTGTCTTTCATGGTATTTAAGAAAATATAGGTGAATCAGGTGACTGGTTTTCAGCACTTTTGAAAACTTTTTTGAGCCTTCTATGACTACATTTTTTTTACCGCAATATAAAACCCTACCTGCAACTATAACATTGGTAATAATGGTTTCTGATTGGATCATTTTATATTTTTTCCATTATCAAAGTTACCTGCAATATCAGGTAATTTTGTCCACATTGACTCGAATATAAATCCAACATTAATGTTGGATATGGCTAAATTGATAACATTAAAATGTGTCTTGATCATATTGACATCATTTTGCTTGAACGGGATAGACACCAGTGTTTTGTGAATGTACACCTGAATAAGAATTTTTGACTTCTAACAACAGCATCCTTTCAACAGTTTGAAATATAAAACATTAATTGAATGAAAAATGGACAACTGTCAAGCCGCACATATTGAAATACATGCAATTTTCAAATCAAAAACTGCCACAAGTGTAGGGAACCTACGATTAAAATTTGGAAGCACTTTTTTCTTTTTTATTAACAACATAACTTTTCCACAAATGAATTAATAGTAATTATTTTGTGTGGAACGTAGCTTAGCCAGTAAATATTCAATAAAAATTTTAAAAAATTGTAAAAATTTTTAGAATATTTTTCAGTAGTCATTTTTATCAAAGTTACCAGTCACTTGTAGCTGCCAAAATAAAATATGCATTTCACATTGCATATGACTAGAGATTTGTAATTCACATAAGGTTTTAGTTACATTTTTTTAACTAGGATTTTAAAATAGGTACTGTTGATTTTAACATCCTAAAACAATTTCTGCATACCAAATATTGAAATTGAATTATGTTTCTTTTTTTTTTTTTTATATACATTTTTTGCTATAAGTAATATTTCTTTCAAATCAGATTAATTTTTAAACTTTAAATTTGCTAACTTTCCTAAAATAACGTTTCAGAAATAAAATCTAGAATTATCTTTTGTTTAGTTTACAAAAGGTATTAAAAAATGGCAATTTTGATCGATTTAAATGAAAATAAATATCGATTGCGATCAATAATTTCTGTTTGAAATACACCACAGAGTATTTTGCTTATTGGAAATAGTAAATTTTAAATTCTTTAGCTTTCAATTAAAGCTAAAAAATGAAAGCTTTTTTTAAAAAAAAAAAAAAAAAAAAAGTCATACCTGCTGACGCATACCAAATTAGTGGAGGTATCTACTTTTAGTAATTTAGTTTATACTTTTTTTTACTACACTATAAACAACTTTTCAAAACCAAATCTCTCGTTAATAGATGAATTGAAAACATAATTTCATATCAAAATTTTCTGCGATCTTTCTTAAAAATAGTCGAAAGACGATAAATTCATTTTTATTTAAATTCAGGGCATATGCCTTAGTCACCTATATTGCAGCATTGCTTTTTTTTCCTCTCTCGACTCGATTAACGTGTACTGTTGTGTAACGGTATCTATTTTCGTGGTCAAATATCAAAATTAAACATTGATATGATTGAATGTTAAATTTTAGCATCCTGCAATTCTAGGACGTTGAAATTTACCATATTTTCTAAATAGCTTTTTTTTTTTTTTTTTAGTCACTGACAAAAAACTGTCCATGTCGAAGAGATTTTTTTAATCAACCCTTTAATTTAACATAATCTAATTTAACAAGGTTTTGCCATTATTTTGAAATAATGAAGTAGTAACTACATTACTACAATAATAATGTTTAAATGCAAGCCTTTTTTCCTTTCATTAAGGCTTTCAGAAAAAACAAACAAAGCACCTTGTACGTCATTTACTGGGTTTTAATTTCACATTAGCGTTTTACAGGACTATAAACCTGCATTTACAGGTGTTATTTTACAATAAATAAATATTAACTAGGTACACAGTACTGGGTACTTGTTAATTATTATTTTCTAGAAAGTAGGATTTTAAAACCGGTTAAAAATGTCCTTCGGACGAACGACTCTTTATTAAAGGTCATCGCAGAATAATAGTGAACAGAAAGAGGTGACCTCAAACTAGTTACAAAATATAAAAACAAATTTAACTGAAAAAGTTACAACCGTAAAAACATTTTTTTAAAAAAGGTTTTGATATCGTTCATGTTAAATTCTTGATTGAAGAGTACACTATTTAATTACGGCAAAAAAGTAACTCATATCTAACAGTGAATATGGGATTTGAAATGCATTTTTAATCCTTACTTGGTGATGAAACCAGTTGACTTGGCCTTGAAAAGTCGGAAGATATCTTTCTCTCCTGGTGGAACCCTTTCGGCAAAAGCTGCCCAATCCACAAGACTTTTCGCTACTCTTTTACCTGCCATTCCACGATTTTTTTTCTTACCGTACCCTTTCTTGCCCTGTCGTCCTCTCTCGAACTGGACTTTACAGGAAGCGGATGTACAGTTATCAGCCTCGTTCTCGTTATTATGGCGTCTGCAAAGACTTTTGAAATTCACTTTGCGCCAATCCCCTATGATTTAAAAAAATTGTCTCAAATAGGTGTAGCATAGTAGTTGGAGTGTCAGTCATTATATGATAAAGACTAATTGTACCAAATGCGTTAAAATAATTTTTATTATATTGGAAAGAGTTTACATTTGAAGTAGCAGATTGATGGCACTATATAGTTTTACCCTGATGCTTATAAAATTTTGATATATCATTAACAAAGTTAAGCTTGAGATTACATTATTTGTGAAAACTTACACCAGAACATTACCCAGTTTCTAATTCAATGTTAATTTATTATAAGTAAATCCTTTTCTAATGTTATGACATAGAGCCTTGTAGTGAGTGTGAAATAATAGTAGCTCCCTTCACCCACTTCATTCTAATTCAGAGGACTTAAGAAGAAGGAAAGAAATCTGTGAGCCTGTGTGAGATTTTTGGCTTTCACAGAAATTAATTGGGAGGTGAGGAAGAAGAAGGAAAGAAATTTGTGAGCCTATATGAAATTGTTTTGGGACCAATGAAAATCTTGCCTTCACAGAAATTAATTGGTCAGCTGAGAAGGAGGAAAGAAAGTAGCAAAACTATGTGAATTTTTTTATATTACCTTAATTTTATTTTGTCCACAAATATTTATATATTTTTAAATACCATGCCCTTTCAGGACACAAGTGATCATAGTCCTCCCCAGATTCTAATATTTCTAATACTTCCAAATGTCTATATTTTTTGTAAATACCATGCCCTTTCAGGACACAAGTGATCATAGTCCTCCCCAGATTCTAATATTTCTAATACTTCCAAATGTCTATATATTTTTTTAAATACTATGCCCTTTCAGGACACAGATGATCATAGTCCTCCCCAGATTCTAATATTTCTAATATTTCCAAATGTCTATATTTTTTTTTAAATACCATGCCCTTTCAGGACACAAGTGATCATAGTCCTCCCCAGATTCTAATATTTCTAATATTTCCAAATGTCTATATTTTTTTTTAAATACCATGCCCTTTCAGGACACAAGTGATCATAGTCCTCCCCAGATTCTAATATTTCTAATATTTCCAAATGTCTATATTTTTTTTAAATACCATGCCCTTTCAGGACACAAGTGATCATAGTCCTCCCCAGATTCTAATATTTCTAATACTTCCAAATGTCTATATTTTTTGTAAATACCATGCCCTTTCAGGACACAGGTAATCATGGCTCTCCTCACATTCTTTTTCTTTATTATTTGTGAATTGCTGTGTATTTGGGGAAAGATAGTGGAGTGGTCACCCATTGACTCTCCACAGTTTTAGAATCCAGAGTTTTCTTTCTCTTAGATTGGTTGTCACTCAAATTAGAGAGCCTATAAAAAATTCTATAATAAAAAAGAAATGTAAATTATATAAAAAATAATTAAAGCATAAACAAAAGAAAAATAATACAATTTTTATTTTTGTGGTTTTTACAACTAAATTTTTTGGAGCATGTATGAGTGTTCTTAGAGTCCTTATTTGTAATTGCTTGTTAAGATGTAAAGAAATGTGATTTCTTTGCATGTATGTGTGAGAAAAAAAAAGAGCCAAGGGAGAAAGTAAAGAGGAAGTTGTGTCATGTAGCTTGGCGAGGAAGACAGGTAAATGAGTCAAGCTGTTGTGAACTCTTGACTTATGTTGCAATCCCTTCTCAATGGCTTGTCTGGCCTAGAAACTTTGCTTATATACTCTTCAAAGGGATCAGGAAGCATGTTTTTTATTGTCAGTGGGAACACGATCCATTGGTTGAAAAATATTAAATATTTATTTTCAAAGGATTAATTTATTAACTTGAAGGATGCATGAATCCCCCAACTCTAAAACCATTTTTTTATCATTTGGTGTTTGACTGTCTTGCTGTTTATTTCTATCTTTGCTCCACAAGTGCATTTCAGATCAGGTAAATGAAAGGTAAGTTAAAAGTGTCCTGTTTTGGTAAACAAAAAAACACAACAATGCAAGTGTACACTCTGCAAAACAAACTCAAGAAAAAATAAGATCATTGTGGAAGGAGTTCCTTCATACTCACCAGATTTAACATATACAGATCTTCATTTGTTTCAATCACTAGAATATTTCATCAGTGACAGAACATTCAGAAACAAAGAAATTGAAAAAAATCTGTCAAATATTTTTGGGGAGAAAACCATAGATTTAAATATGAAACAAAAAATTACCTTCCCACTGTTTATAGTCATTAAAAATGAAGGTGATGTAAGGAGATAAAAAGTGATTATCTCCTTTTGGTTGAGATAGTCATGATGATCAAGTGATGTCACTTTATACAGTGATGAAAGTGGTCAGTCATTCACTCAGTAAGCTTATTGGTTTCAAGGTACATGAGTTTTGCGTCCTGCCTGGACTTCCACCCGGGGTAGACAGCTACCAAATACTAATTCTTGGTGCTGTTTCCCTTTGGGAATATATCATCCCCAGATATAGAAATCTCTGGCTAGTAGTTTTCATTTTGGGAAAACCCAAGACTTGCCATTTCCAGTTTGCAGAATATGGCCTTGCTTGAGATATAGTAAATGAATCCAGCCTGTTTGAATCTGAAGTCCTAAACATGGCTTCTTCAGAAACACAGAAGAATCTCCAGATTATATATAAGACCCCATCTTTTCATTCTCCTTTCATTCTGCTTGACTGTTTAGATATAGGATATATCATTCTCTGTGTAAATATGTATATATAGCTTTGTGTATATCTTTGTGGTATAAATGTATTTCTGACAACAGAACATGTTTGTCATTCTTTTTCCTTTCAGCTATTCTATTCTGTCTGTGAAGTACGGTATTATTATATCACAGATATAATAATACCTATAATGGGGGAAATATAATTGGTGGAATAAACCTTTCTTCAAATATCTTCTCCCATTATGCTGGAGACCATGACATGATATTATTTACCCAACATATGATATTATCATCCATTAACTGTTGAACATGATGTATTATTATTTACCTCCATTAGTGCTAAATATTTAAATAAATTTAATTTACTTTTGTTTTTATATCCTTTCTAGTAAAATGCAATTACCCTCCAAACACGCTAATATAATTGGAATTGAGATATTTACTAAAGCCAAATGAAGGGGGAATATTGTATTACAACAGCTTTTAAAGTATAAATGATTTGTCTGCCTTGCAACTTATTTACCTGGTATTGAATACCAACCATTTATGTTGATGGTAAATATGCAACTATCTTATCCATCAAACTATTATATAGAATCATCACAGTATGTTTTTTTTACACCGATGTTCACCCAATACAAGATCAAAGAGCCACTCAAAGTAGAGGGTTGCAGATTAGGTACTTACTGGAGTGGTACAAGAAAGCAACTATTTTTATATCAACTTTAGCAATGGATCGCATATATCACTACCACTTGAGATTTGAGTTGAGTCCCAATAGGTGCTTAAGGCACAGGGCCTCACTGGGAGAATACCTGTTCATCACAATAGGTGAAAATTCATAATCTGCTCTGTAATGATGGAATGTCACTAGTTTGATAGATATATGACGAAAGATTTACTATTATTAACTTTTGTATGATTACACACTTGGTGACCAATTTTGTCTCATAATTATTATGTAGATAGATTTTTCATGCATTTTTATACCGGAAGAAAACAGCACTGTATAAAATAATAATTTTATTATTATAATACTGTTGTCCATCTGATTTAGGCATGTGTGGGCAGCATAACAATTACCAGCACTTAAAGTGGAATAAATGAGCCAAGTTTTGATTCTGGTCTAGTTTGTTGCACTATCACCCTTGGAAACGGCACAAATCCATTTGTTCTCCTGGCAATCTTTAACCTTCATGCTTGCAAAAAAAACAATGTGTCAAAAGAATGATTTTCCCTAGACACCACTATTATTTTAACTACCTTCACTCCTCACCAATGTTTTAAAAAGCAATGATTAGAATTGTAATAAAACCTAAACATGATGAAAGTGAATTTATACATTTTCTGTACTTGTGAATTTACAACAAAAACATTAAATCCTATTTATTTATTAGCAGTGGCATAGCTAGGGGGGGGGGCTGCCCCAGGTGCCAGTACAGGAGGGGGTGACACAATGTCACCCCCAACAAAATTTTTCAACCAGGCTAAGGTGCCAAAAATAGTCTGAAAACAGTGGTGGAGACACAGGGTTTCGCAGGTGGCATATGACCCCCCAGAAATAATTTATAACCCCCCAGTTTTGTCCCCTGTCAGAAATTTTCTAATAAATTGTTGGGAAATTTGTGAGTAGGAAAAATAGCAATGTTTTCAGCATTCATGTGTTTTAGTTGCTACAATCTTGGTTACTAACAAGAGACATTGTTGTAACATTTTATTGGATGATATGGTGTTTTAACTCTGCATCATTAATAACAACAAAGTGAAATACGAAGCCAAAAGTGCAACAATTTCAGTCTTGCCTGTGTATCAATTCGCTGAGATACAATTTTCCATTGAGTGAGCGAGATACTTTTGAATATATGTACTAGTGTTGGGACGATTAATAGGAATCGAGAATCGGAAAAATCGGAACTTTTGGGGGTATCGGAAAAATTTGTGCCTATTTTCCGATTTCAAAAACGATTCTTTTAAATTTTTAACTTAATTTTCTGTTATTGGTACTAATGATAAATATTTATTGTTTTTAAATTATCACTAAAACTAAAATCATAATAACATCAAAATACGATGTAAATTACTTGTATAAAGAAAAACAAAAAAATAAACTTTGCATAAATTCTCTAGATAACCTTTAAAAGAATGCAGTTGATTTACAATGTTCCGAAAAATGCTTAAAAATTAAATAGGACATTTTTGTCAAGAAAA